AGGAAATGAGAGAATTTGTTTGATTACAAAAATCAAACCAGAAAAATAAAATAAAATAAATAAAAACAGATTTTTATTTTGTTACAAAAAATAAAATTAAAATCTGATTTAAATAAATAAATAAATAAAACATAAAATAAATAAACAACTTACTTGATTAATTCTTGAATAATATCCTTACGACAGATTTATCCTCTCCACGTTGCTTTCAGAATATGGACGTCTATATCCCAGGATAAAATGATCAATCAACGAAAAATAGCAACATTACAAATTTTTCGTACAATGAACACACAAAATGTTTATACTCTTCCTCACAAGAAAATAATGCAGCAATATGTAGAGAATAGTTACAGAATTATTTGGACGAAAATTGTTAATGAAAATATCAAATGAGGGCTGTCTATTTATAGATATTGTGGTGGCTTTTCAATTTGAATTAAACAGGTACCAAACTTGTTTGAACAGGTGTAACACTGTTTCAACAGATAAACTATTTGGGTTTGAAATTTAAACAGATTTGAAATATGTTCGGGTGGAACAGATTTGAATCTGTCCGAACCTGTACAAAAATTTGAAGAGGTGCAACAGTTGAATTTGAATTTGAAATTAAAATTTCGGACGAATTTTATTTTACTAAAAAATAAAATTAAATTCAAATGTTTTTGGCCTAAAAAGATAAGTATTTGGCCGAACAAGCCCAACCCAATCACACACCACGCACCCACGCCCAAGCCCAGGCGGCGCGCGCGCGTGTTGTGATTTTTTGGGTCCAATGGGTCTAGCCCATTTCGCCCATAACCTCCCTCTCTACAAAACTTGAGTGCCTCTTGAGGTCTACCCGGAGCTCCAATCCCATGCCTTATAAACCCACTCAAAACTTCCCACCAAATCAATGTGAGACAAGCCATTATACAAACCTTAAGGAATTTTCACCAAAACTCTATTTCCATGGAGCTCATTTTGGCTTCAATTTTCCATTCACCCGATAATGGTTTTGAGTAACCAAATATACCACGTGAATCACAACGCGGCATAGAACGCGTTATCACTTTGACCCGCCAACTTTGGCGCACGGGTCCCACCTAAAAAATAGACCAAAGTTTGGGAAAAATTCTGTTTTCCAGAATTTCCAAAACCAGTTTTTAACAGTTTTGTTAAGCCAACTATTGTGTCTCACTGCAAGGTTTCAAACCATTAATTTGTCAAGGCTTCTTGGGTAGTATAGAGTCACCCGTTTGAAACTGTGTTTAAGTGACAAGAATGTTTTTGGCTTTTGTTATACTGTTTTTGATATGGGATTTAATTCCCTAACTTATACTTTGTGTGTGGGTGATTTTCCGACCACACTGCCTGCTTAGTAACCAGCTGGAGAGCACTGGCAGAATAGATGGCACCTGACGGACCTGCAACAGAAATATAAGAATCCCGCGGTGGTTTCGACCACCCGGGGGCACTCCGACGATCAAGTCAGTATATCTCTCAAAGATAACAAATGAGCGGTTTCGGAGACACAATGCAGGCGGATGTGGTTTGGAATATGGCATGATTGCGGGTTGCGAGTTTAACCCGCACCCGCAAGAACCCATGACTTTTTTTTTTAAAAACCTGATTATTGCATTTTGGATGAATGTAAAAGTTAACGAAGAATTACTTTTAGGTAAGTTTAAGATTTTGAATAATTTTACTTTAATTGTATTATTGGGTAGTGAGTGATTTTGATGATTTAGTTTAGAATGTGTTTGTGTTAGTTTATGATTTTATTTATAATTTTAGGATTTTGAACGATTTGTTTGTATTAGGAATTGATTTTGTTGTGTTTTTAATTTTATAAGTTTTAATTCATTAATTATTAATGTTGAACATTTTAGAAAATGAGAGGAAAATGACCCAAAATAAATATTTACAAAATGAAAAAAAGGTTCAAAAATAATTTTTTTTAAAACAAAGTTTAATTCGCAAACCATCCACAACTATCCGCACATCTGCGAACCCTATTCGTCCAAACCGCAATCTGCATTACTAGTGATTGCGAGTTCAATTTTTCTCAAACCACATATATACAAACAGGTTCAAACCACAAATCGAATCGTCTAAAACCGAACCACGAACACCTCTATATTTAATAATGAGTACTCCATAAATTTAATTTTGAGTTTTGTTTAGTTAGAAGTGCAATCGCTCAAATATTTTAACTATAAAAATAAACTTAAATAAAATGATCAAAATACTCCCATCTATATATATGCTATGAAAAATGCTTCCTACCCCCAGCTGGGGGTGACACCCAGTGAGGTGTCCGCTGGGGATTGGAAGAAAAAAAACAATTTTTCTTTTTCCTTTTTTTTTTTGATTTTCGACCAGTGGGGGCGCGCCACGTCACTGGGGGCGCGACCCCCACTGGGTGTAGGAAGCATGGTTGATATGCTATATACCCAAACCAAACCCTCACACTTCACGAGTCATCTCCTCTCTCTCTCCCTCTCACTCTCTCACTCTCACTTTTTCATTTGCGCTCTCCGTAGCTACCGAGTCGCCGCCCATCTCTCACCCACGCCCATGCCTCACCCGCCGCCTCTTCCTCCGTTGTGGTCTCACTCAATCTCCCCTAGGGTTTCGTCATCAGTGGCCACGAACCGGAGCTGAGATCGGCGATCGAACTAGAGCTCCGCTACCACTGTCGTTGTTAGATCGTCTCCGTTGTCAAATCGTCTTTGTCGTTAGATCATCTCCATCGTCCCTCACCGAACTCTCCCTAGATCCGCCTACCGTAGATTACTATCGCACCGCTGGTAGTAACACTGCCCTCCCTCTCTCTCTCTAGGTCGACTAAGCGATCTATCTTCTCTCTCTCTATTCCTCTTGAGATTTAGTGGGTGGGAGCTCCCTCTATTCCTCTTGAGATTTAGTGGGTGGGAGCTCCCTTCACACTCCGAATATTTGGCATCCCAATTTAAAATGACTAATTAATGTTTATAGCATTACTTTACTCGTACATTATAAAACATTTTGATAAAAAAAAATGCTTAAAATGCTGAGCTCAGTGCTTTAGTCTTGATTTTTTTTTTTTCCCGTTGCCATGTCATTATACTCTGAATCATTGCTAATTTTGATAATATAAATATGATTAAGAAATCAAGAACGTATAAAGGTTCAAACAATTACAAGAAATCAAAATTAGGTGGAGACCAAACTCTAACCATTGGCATTAAATTTGACAACCAAAACCATCTACATTTAAAAGTTTTAAAACTAGATTGGAAGGGTGTGCCAGGCCCGTGCAGTAGTGCAAAGCATGGACGGCACTCAAAAACCCCAGCAGCAAGCTGCTGTGATGGGCTCTTCCCTTAAAAATATTAATTTAATATCATGTGAGCCAATGGCCCACGTATCAGATATTAAACTGATAAGAACAGATACTACACTTGATCTTAGCCAAAAGGCCGAGAAAGGTATGCTTTACAATTTGGTTCAGCCCTTTTTTTATGTCTAGCCTTCTCTGCCCATTTGTCTCGGTTTTCCAATATGGGACAAACACTTTTCCCCTCTAAGAACTAAGAATCACCGAAACAACACAGGTGATACTAGTTGATAGTTTTCCTTTCACCAATCAACTAAATATAAAAGTTAAATTTTTGGCTGTTCATATTCTAGATTGGTAAAACCAATATTATGCATTTGTCAAACTAGTGAAACTAGGCTGGGATAAGTTATGATTTTGGGCACAGATTTACAGGAATGGGTTGGAGGTTGCCCCCGGTAATACAAGCTGAAAATGCGTCGAAATTTACTTTTAATAAGCTTGATTGAGACGGAGATATTTATGCACCATGCCTCTGCAGTAGTGCAACGTGCAGGCAAGACATTGCAGCAGTGGAAAGCACAAGCAAGTCGACAATCTGGATTTAATGGCTGGAGCACATTTAGTATAGCTCTACATCTCTAATTTGACATTAGCTTGTTCTTTGCCAAGCAAGGCTCGTACATCTTAGCCCTCTTCAAATCTCACTTTAATGGATGTTCCAGGTGAATGAAGTATTGGATTAAGCGAGTTATAATATGTAATTGAACGCACCCATGAGTGTAATTGAGTTGGCAAAGACTTGGGACCTCTAGGTCTCTGGTTCAATTCTTGGTGAAGCCAAAACCCTTGCTTTTCACCTAGTGATGAGAAGCGGTGCATCTCATTTTTCCCAAGTTTCGATGTCTAATCTAAGGTTGTCCTGAATTATCAAAAAAAATCAACATGAAAATAAATTTTTCGGAGCAGAGTTAGTAGAACATTTTCCCAAGTTGCAGCACAACTAAAAATAGTTGTGGGACAACTTAAATCTTAAATAGTATCATTATCCCAAACAATGATTCAACATAGTCCCAAGACCCAACTAGGAAATCTGATAAAACCCATGACTTAACCCAACATTTACAGACCTATTATTTGTCAGACCACCTTTGGCTGGTCCTGGATGGATCCACAATAAAGAAAGCTTTATGTTGGTTTCTCCCTATTGGAATGACTTGCACCTCCAACCTTGTTCAATTTTACATTATATATACACGATATGCAAATAACATTAACTTGATCTGAAGTGGGTCACTACTAAAAGTGAACTACAGATATAATACCATCAATGTTCTAAGCCACTGGCTCTAACCCACATGACAACCCAACTCATTGGCCTTTTTACTTTGGCAACTAGACTAGATTGTAGGTGTGCCAAACTAGTGCAGTAGTGCAACTAGGTGTGGTTAAGGGAGGGTTTGGACAAGTCAAAATAGATTCCGCATTCAAAATAATAATACAATTTAAATCTGTCCAAATAGACCTATCCACCGTTTAAATTGTAATTTTATTACAATTCAATTCTTTCTTGGTTTTTTTCCATTCAACACAAATTTGGTTCCTTGGCAAATCATTCAACAAAGCAAGTACGTTTGAGTCCAACTTAGAAGCCCAAAAGAAGGCCGCCTTTGGGCCTGCAAATTTTGCAACTAAATTGGAGGGGTGTGCCAGGCCCGTGCAGTAGTGCAACGCATAGGCGACACTCAAGAACTCCAGTAGCAAGCTATTGTAATGGGCTCTTCCCCTAAAAAAAATTAATTTAATATCATGTGAGCCAATGGCTCACGTATCAGATATTAAACTGATAAGAACATATACTACACTTGATCTTTCTGGACTTTTCAATAATTTTAATGATTTGGAATAACTTTGGTTAGCTTCCAAAATCCACAATCCAAAAGACCTCTTTTCAAGGCACTTGTTCATTAAACAATATAAAATTTTCTAATATAATTAAAATTAATTTTTTAGAATAAAAATATAATCATTGTGTTTGGTTCCATTTTTTTGAATTATTTTTTCAGAAAGAGATTTGAAAATTTTATTTTGAAAAAGATCTTTGTTTGATTTTTAAAAAAATGCATTATTGTAAATTCGAGTTTCCCTTCAATTTAAGGAGAGTGCCAATTTTGGAAAAAAAATTTATCACATCAAAAAATACTCTCATGTTTTATATATATATATATATGTGTACATGCTATATATTATGAAAACATAGGCAGTGTTTGGGAAGTGAAATGAGAGGTTATTTTACGCCCCATTTGTTTTCAGAGGTAGAATGGAGGGGATTAATAGTGAAGGGATTGTTAGTGAGGGGATTAAGTAAAATTGTGTTTATTTTGATGATAGTTGTTAGTATAGAAATTGTTAAATTATTTTTATATAAAATAATAAAACAAATAAAAAAATATAAAAAATTAAACATTAATATTTAAAAAAAATCCCAATATAAAAAAAATAAAAAAATTTCTAATCCCCTAACTATTACCCCAAAATTTCTAATCCCACTTCCAACTTCCATCTATATCACCTCCTCTATCCTAATCCCCTCCCATCTATTTAACCCCAAAACAAACAGAGCCTTAGCCCCATTCAAGAAAAAAACCAAATGGTACTTAAATCAATTATTTATATTTAAAAAAAAAAAAAGAGCAGCCGGCAGTGGGCAGCCTACACTGTCACATTGACAGTATAGGCTCAGTGGGCAGACAGCCTAGTCCCATAGATAAGAAATGATAATTTTACCGCTTTAGACCAATTTTGGAAAAAGTGAAAGTAGGGACAAATTTGTCATTTCAGCCTCGCATAATTTCAAACACATTTTTCAATATAACAACTCAAATAAAAATCCATCTTATCTTCTTAAACACAAAAACTAAAATAGTCTAAATAGCCAAAAAGCCTAAATAATAGCCATTTCCCAAACAGCCACATAATTTGGTATGTAACCATTTATGGGTACATATCCTACAATTAAATGTGTGATTTTATCATAAAATTTTCACTCATTTTAACCATAGAAAACATTTTTTTTTTCCTTTCCAAATTGGCATTAAAAAAAATTCTTACATAGAATTAAATTTTTATAAATGTTATGTAGAAAATTTATTTTATTACAAAATATCATAACATTAATACAAACATGTGTAACATTATCAGAAATTGACATAAGAAAATGTCCAAATTTTTTGTATTTGATGTTGCAAAAGTTTGTAAGTTAGTTATTATTATTTTTTAATGTCAATTTGTAAAAAAATTATGTTTTTTGTAGGTGAAATAAGTGGAAATTTTATGATAAAGTCACACATTTAATAATAGGATATATACTCATAAATGAATACATATCAAATTATATTTTCATACATATATAACATGTACATATATATATATATAACTAACATAAGAGTACTTTTTGATGTGACAATTTTTTATTTTAAATTGTCTCTCTCTTTAAATTGGAGGAAAACTTGAATTTAAAATGTGTGTTTAGTTTTTTTGAATAACCAAACAAGTATTCTAAAATTTTCAAAAAACTGAGTTTGAAAAATAAGAATCAAACAAAGTGAATAGTTTGATAATGTGGTTCCAATTGTCATGCATTATCAAATTTTAGCATTTGGACAATTGTTATAATTTGATAAAGAAAATAAAAGCCCATTAAAATTAAATTAGGTTAATTATACAGACCTCTTTTATGATTTCTAAAATTACACTATCTTCTCAAATTACAATTGTCAGATTATGAAAGTTTCTAAATGTCCTTACCTTTCGTTTTTAAACGTCAACTTCTTTGACAAATTTCAAAATTTACAAAATTTTCTTTGAATACCCAACCTAATAACCAAACTCTAATCCCATACCCAAACTAACCTCATTCCTAGGTTTCAAACTCTAATCCCATACCCACGGCAACTACTACCTCCTTCACTTTGACTACCTTCAATCACCCCCGCTACCTCCAATTGCCATAACTTCCACCTCTCTTGCCCTTAAAAACCATAGCCGCCACCTCCCATACCCTAAAAATCCCAGTTGCCACCCCTTAATCAGGTGACCTTTGTTCGACTATACAAGTTATTAAAAAAAAATAAAAAAACTATTTTTAAAAAATACTTAACTTTTTTTTTTTATTTAAAAAACAAACATGATAAATTTAACATATTATGATTATTTGATCAAGCTAATTTTTTTTGAGAATTACGTGCAAGGACCCTACAAAATTAATAGTTCAGATAACTAAAATAGGATCTATGGTAAGTTCAAAGGCCTCCAATTCAAATTTGGACTAGACAATTTGTTCCCAAAAAAACAAAATACTTTTTAAGCGTACGAATCTCACAAATTAATGGTTACTATCTGACATGCAATAATAAAGTTTGAGCAGCGATTCAGAGCTCTAGAGCTGGAGCTCTAAACCTAGCTCTAGTGACATAGCAAATCAAAAAAAAAAAGGCCAAAACATTATATTACAATAGAATCCACCCCTATTAGAGCTCCCTAGAGCTCCTTTATTAGACCTTCCAATCATTTTTGTAAAGTTTTGATATTTAAAAATAAGACTCACTCAAATAACGTGATAGAGTGATCTCAACTGCTTTATCGCTTAATAACCTGATAGAGGTATCTCAACTGCTATATCTCTTAATATCAGTAGTTCATGAGATTTGTATGTTTTTAAAACAGCCACTAAGAGCCACTGAGTGGGGTTGGAATGCAGAATTCACACCTTGATACAAATTAGAGGCTGTCTTCGCTCAAAATTCATGCAGCCAAACACACCCTTAAAGTTAAGAGCTTGTCACAATCAACACAAAAAGGCTATTTCAATTAACACAATAACACTATGTCCAAAAATAAACTGTCACAAAGAAACTAACTGTACAATTTCAATGGTACACCAAAGAAAACGAAATAAAATCAATCATAATCCAAAATGCAATGAGAATACAAGACTTCAAAATAACCTTACATGCCTGAAGACAGCCACATCAGAATAACCATCTTCTGCAACTAAGGCTCAAGCTCGATAAACTTTCCGTGTCGTCTCTACTTCTCTTGATCAAGGATTTAGATATTGGTCACTCATCCTTGGCCGCAAAATTGGGATTTAAAGACATCTCAATTTCTTCAAGGGAACGCCCTTTAGTTTCAATGATAAAATTGTAAGCAAATATTGCTGACAGCAAGGAAAACGCGCCAAAGCTTGCATAAACTGGAGCAACTCCAAATTTCTCCACAAGCTCAAGGAAGAATAGACCAACCACGAAATTACAAACCTGAGTCACATGACAAATGCAAACTAAACTACAGTTTGAATTACAAATATAGTCCACCAAAAGCATCATCAAATAGGTATGCTTGAAGTACTAGAAACATACATTTACATGGCTTCTTACCATTATTATGTTTATTATAAATTTTATTTTACGAAAACCAGTCTTGTTCAACTTCTCAAATTATATGAAGCTGTGATTAATTAACACTTTTTTTTGGAAGCGTGTTTAGTAACCACACTTTTTTGTTTCATACTTGTTCAAACTCTGATGAAAACATGATTGCTAACAACATTCTAATAAAAAGCGTCGCTAGCAATCACGGTTATACTCTAGATCAAACTTCAAAACGAGGAAATTTGAAGGCATTTGTTTACTAAGTACGTTTCTGAAAACGTGTTTAGTAACCACATTTCATGTAATTTGATAAATAAGTTTCCACTCTTTAAAATAAATTTTAAATAAAAAATTCTCTACTTTACAAGATAATTATATATATATATCATTCTAATCGGCCCATTTATATCTTATGAGCAAGTCTACAAAATTATGACACCTACATGCAAAGCTAAATCATGAGATAGAAACAGCCATTCTCTAGAACTTCACCCATTTCTTTCTTTCTAATTTTTTACTTTTCACTTTTTTTTACCGACCTTTCACAATTAATAGTTGTTTCTCATTAATTATCGGACAGGTTTGTGAAACATACCCAATGAACTGAGAAACTGAAACCCATGATCTTCCCACGCATCCTGCTGCTACTAAGCTCCGGTATAATAATACCAGTTACAGGGCCAGATCCAATAGCAAAGGTAAATATGTACCTAAAAGCATGTAAAAGGTAGAATCCAATAATATAGCGCATCTATAGATTTGCTGCTATAAGTATGCTGAGAATGCCACAATTAAATTCAATTGATTTAATAATTTATATCTTAAAAACACTTTCAAATGCCACATGGTGAAGAAAACATACAGGACAGTTCCCAATATTGATAAGTTGTGACCAAGCTCTTCATCTATTGGAGAGCTGATAGCATAGACTACTAGAAACATCGATATTGCCTGCAAAAAGACAGATTTTGTGCGTTAGTCCATGGGCTATGTAATCAAGAACAAACATTTAGACCGCAAAATGTATCTAAAAGAGAACATATTGTCCCACTCCCACCAACTGCCTCCCTTAAACAAATTCATTTTCGTATTTTATGAGTGTACACAAGACGAAATGTTCCAATATTTCCTCTCTCAAACACCCTTTCTGAGCTATGAAACATGGATACAAAATATGATACAAGAATACGGCGATACGACAAAATCTTAAAAAATAGGATATGGATATGAATAGGATGCATTAAATTTTTTTATATTTTTTTAAAATAATTTTTAGTATTATATGATACATGAACTCAAAAAATAATTAATTTACTTGTTTGTTTCCTTTTTCTTTTCTTTTTTTTTTCTTTTTTTTTTCAGTGGACACATTAATTTGATAAAATCTAAAAAATTAGCATTACCACTTTAATTTCACTATTTTCTTCTTCGGTAAGAAATAAGAAAATATTGAAAAACTACTTTGTATTTATTCTAACAATCATACTCTAATACTATGCAAAAATTATTACAATCTCGATTTCATAATAATTTGGATACGTGACCGTGAGTGTTTTAAGAGTATCGGATACTTCTCAAAATTAACATTAAATATCGGACATGTTTAGGAAGTATTGGACGTATCAGTGAGTATCCAAGGAGTATCAATATCCAGAATATGGGTACGACATAGATATGACTCCATTTAGAAGTATCCGTGCTTCAAAGCTTTTGAGTAATGTTGACATGTTGTATTACATAGTTTAATATCCCACCAATAGCTTAAGCTATGTGTAAGCTGTTAAAATTGTAATATTATTGATTGATGTAGATTGATGTATTATATTACAAATCAGAGTAGCTCATTATATAGGAGAGGGTTTGGGTAGTAGGTGAGGAGTAGGTGAGGGTAAATTGGTGGTAGGTGTAGTAGGTGTGGTAGTAGGTGGTGGTAGGTGTAGGTAAATTCTAACATAAGCTATTCAATTTATCTCCATCCAAAAAAAAATGTCATAAGATAAGAAACATCTCATTTTCACTTCACTCACCATTCCCAAGTAACTACCAATTAGAAGCGTTTTCCTCCCTCGCTTATCCATCAAGTATAAAGCACCAAGTGCACCTGGACATGAGTACCAGCATCATATTTTTCATGCATGTATCATACTAATATGATATACATATATATCCATAATTTATACTGAACCTGCAAAGTTGGTAAGTCCAACAAATAAGCTTGCTAAAGCACCACTCGTAATTCCAACATCTTGAAAAGTCAGTGACGAAAAATAAAGAACTCCATTTATACCAGCAAACTGTTGAAGTATGAAAAGGGCACCTCCAATGAATGCAACTGCAGCCATAAAGAAATTTGTGACTGAAACTGAGGACAGATATGTCAAATAACTCAAAATAAGGACATACTGCGTGCTAAAATACAACAGGGTGATCCATATAATACCACAAAAACATGACACTGCACATATCTAAAATAGAACTGAGTGAAAATGGCATCTCCTTAGGGGTGTCTAAAGTGCACCGTTCACAATATGTAAGCATGAGAACCAAGAAGACAAGCACACTTGTCGGGTAATGACAGCATTGATCATTACTGGGAAAAGAACTTGTATTCCTAGAACTTCTTCTAAACTCATCTAAACCAATCCTTATCAGAGCTGTTTGTGCCTGTTTGTATTTCTCACAACTTCCAAGTTCCAACGATCAAAGAAAGCAGGTTGAATATAAGTGCGCACATGTACTGTCTTTGAAAAGATAATGTTCAAACGAGCGGTGCCTAGCATGGTTTTTAGAATGATACGATCCATGATTCGATATAAGTTTCAACCAAAACAATTGGAGTCGTGTTGTTTCATCGAAAATGAGTGAATCGTGCAATTCAATTTGTGATTCATAATGATTCGCTGTGATTCAATGCGATTCAGTTGTTTTTGTTTTTATTTTCATAATGCACAATACAATGTCTTTTTTTCCTCGCTATCAAGAAATTAAAAAAAAAAAAAATCATTATAATGATATTTATTTCATTTTAAACATTGTGTATTTATAATATATATATATATGAATGACTATATAAAGTGATTCTAACAATGGTGCCTATCAATGTTAACTACCGTTAAAAGTTCAAAGCCTGTCCATATGGGACACTAAAAACAACCTTAATACAACCTCTAGAGTGTGGCTGCTCTAGGAGTTCCAGCCATCTGCTCTCCAAATCATCATTCCTATTGACTGACTGAAATTCTTCAATTGCTTTGTTGACTTCAGATGGCCCCCAAAGGTTACGGATAACTTCTTTAGCATCTTCTAGTCTTCCTACCTACACAAGCGATAGAATAACAGATTAATAAAAGCACGTGAAAAATAATTTAAAGATAATTTGTAGAAAATAAAACAGAGTCCTACTTTGCATAGCCACCTTGGGCTGTCTACAGCAAACTGCATTCCAAGGAATAAAATAAATCCAGGGACACTCGCAATATAGAGAATTGTCCTCCACCTGAAAACAAGATACATTTAAACTCTGGCTGAACGTGATATACCACCTACCTTCCAGATGACTAGAATATATGCAGAACATGAATGAAACAGGATCGATCCTGACAGTACTTCATATGCTTCATAATTTATTAATCACTCTTCTATTCTTTGTATAACAGATTTCAAAAACCACAAATATTGCATGCTGACTGAATCACAAATTGTGAAATTCCCAAATTATCAAAATAACAAAAGAATATAACATATGCTTCCCTTTTATTTATTTAAACAAGCATTGCAATTCACTCCCAAAAGTTCATTCTCAAATTTACAATTCCTATTTCCCAATCCAATCTTATTTCCTTATGTCCTGTTATGTTTAACCTAAACTACCTGATTTCCTTCTATCTAGAGGAACAATAAATAAGCGCAACATAAATAATGCATTACTACTTAATTTAATTAGAGCAAGAAAGCTGGATATAGCCATTTCAATATGTCAGATCAAAATATCATCGAGCAAAATCATTGATTTTTGGAATCCACTCCTCGGAGCTCAAGCATTCACAAGGAAACAAAAGAAAAAGCCTCACCAGTGGGGATCATTTTCTGAAGGACTTCCTAAAATGAGTGATGCAATAATTCCGAGGCATGTGCCAATTTGACACAGGGTCCCAAAAGAACCCCTATACTTTGTTGGAGCAACCTACAAAATAATCATTAGGAAACAGATGAATAAAAACAAGTATACATTTATTTTTTTATTTTTTAAAGCCAACTTAGCTTCCACAATGATAAAGAGATAAAACAAATATAGAAATTCAAATTACCAGCTTCAACACAAATTGTTATCGGAATGCACCCAATTTAGCTTGGATGTTAGTCAACCTCTTTGAAAATTGAATTACAACTTCATAATACTACGGAAAACCCTTCATGAGGGTGGAACGGAAAGTATAGCTTAGTAGTTTGTTTGCCCTGATCATGGGCAAACCATCAACATTTTGCAAAATATCATACACTGGAATTTCAGCAACTGAGGAGATTTCTCAGTAATTTCTCTTTAATATTGTTGTTTTAAGGACATTGTAACATGCATTAAATATGGTTCTTTCAAATACACTATTAACATTGATTACAGAAAATCTCATGCTGTCACGTATCTTTTTCCATTTCAGGGGACTTCCAAACATTTATTATAATGATTCTGGTTTTTTTTTTTTTTTTTTTTTTTTTTTGGGGGGGGGGGGGTAGGTAAGTCATAAATTAAAGACAAAAATTACACGTTTATAAGGGGCATTCCCTAGGTAATACAACAACCAAAAAAAAAAATACAAAAGAAAGACTAAACCCCTTATTAGGGGGGAGTGACTTTACAATACAAGAGTGTTGCTGATATATTTTGCCCTCAGTAACTTATGCCAACAGTAAAGAAGGCAGAGTGACTAGGGGCAATATATAAGCAACACTAACACCGTATAACCCAATTTACCCATATAACCATTATGTCCAAGTAAAAACTAACCAAGATAAAACAAGCAACAACCCACAAGACCAATCAAAAAAATGATAACCACCCCCACTTGCCCCCAATCTCTACCGCAAATTAACCCATGGAATCCAATAAGCATCTCACTCCTCACAACCGTGACATCCTAGCCACTTACCAAAGCCAAAGCCGTGACAGAGGAAAAAATCTATCCCACGAGAAATCCCGACAGAGTTACATGGAGCTAGCACAATCGGTAACCATAATTAACGGTCTTGGGAGTTGTAGCAAAAAACGATAGCCACCAAAACAGCAAACCAATACATAGTCAGAACCCGTGTATTTAATTGTTGTTTAACTCATTTCCATCTTGTTGTTTACTGAGTTTGGCTTTTGGGAGTTTTGATTGTGTTTGAAATAGGTTAGGAAGTTAATTTTTCAAAGTGGTGTTGTTGCCCAGAATTTTCTTTATTCGCTCGAGCGACCATTCCTTCGCTTTGCAGTTCTGCAAAACTACTGGGAGGAGGTCATTGTGTGCTCGAGCAGTGGTTTTGGTCGCTTAAGCAGTGTCGCTTATTATGTCTATTGCTCGAGCGGTCTGTGCGTATATCAGTCTGAGAGAAAGACCTTTTTGATCACTTGTTCACCTCTTTCTCTCTCTAAACATTCCAAAAACCTTAGATCTACTCTCTCTCTCTCTCTAGTTCTTGAGCTTTTGCACCAAATACTCCAAATCCGTGAGTTTCCTCATCCTAGTCCTTTGGAGAAAACCGTTGAGCACGGCAAAAGCTTCATTTTAATCAGAAAAGTTAGTTTTTTCAGCTCCATCAAGTTCTGCCTCTTATTTCCTTCTTGTCTTCTACTTTGAGGTAGGGATTTCTTTGGCTTTTTTTTTTTTTTTTTTTTTAAATGATTTTTGGCTTAATTATTTGCCTTTTGAAAAGGGTTATTTGTTTGGAAAATTTTGGTAAAACCTAGGATTTAGTTTGAAATCAAAAGAGGGGTTTTCCAAATTAATTCTTGAAAATGGTTGTAAAAATATGGTTATGGGTGATTGGTGTCGTAATGGTGAAAACCTTTTCTTAAAATTGATTTTGAAAGAAAAGGGGTATTGCCCAAATTTTGGATATTTGGAATTGTGAAAGGGAAAAAGAAAAATAATGTTGGATATTGTGAAATTGGAATAATGATTATGTTGATGATGATGGTGGAGTTGGATATGTAATATTACTCCCATTATAATTGATGAAAATATATATTTTGATTGGAAATTATCTATTGTTTAGAAATATCTGTTTTGAGGTATCGATGGAGGATAGTCTTGATTATTGTAGACATTGCATAAGGATTAGGTTGAATCGAAACTAATTTCCTATCCATTGTGCATTGAGCATCATTACACATTGAACATTGTAAATGTATCGATTTTTGAGAAAAATGGGTGAATACTTTGGTGAATCTGGTTAGGGGTGTGGTTGTGGTTATGATGTTGGCCTGTGTGTCCTTAGTGAAAGTCCAAAAACCAACGCGGTTAGGTGCCGATCATTTCGGTTAATACCGGTAAAATGACTTTGGTAGTGCTTGTATAGCCTACTGGCAGGCAGACATGTACTTGGAGATTCCTCGTGTTTTGTATCCACTGCCCTATTTTTTGTATTAAAATAGTTATTTTCATAAATTGATATATAATTTGGCATTGCAAGGTTTTGAGATGAAAAACGAGAAATGTTTGGAAAATGGCATGCATGTGCATTCACCTTATGATTTTGCTAAGATTCATATACTGTGTTAGAGTATTCTTACTGAGTTTTGGCTCACCCTATGTAGAAAATAACTTTCAGGTACTGATGATATACCTTCGCCAAGGACATAGCTTGGGAGGACTCGGGCTTAAGGCTTCACTTTTGTTTCTTGATGTAAATATTTTTGTTCAAGCCTCGGGCTTTACTTGTATTAAGTTTAAACCCATTTTGTTATAACCAAGTATCGTCTTGGAAAGTTGTAAGCCATTAGGGAATTCCTTTATTTGAATTTAAATTTCCTTTTTGCTCTTGTATCCATGCCATATGTTATAGATTTATAACCTAGGATTTGTGAATATATATTGCGTATGTCATCTTTTGTAACAATCAAAGATAAAATGAATAGAAGATATGAGATTGTTGATTTATAGTAACACTGTTATGTAATGGGTTAACGTTAATTATTTCGGTGCGTGACATTTATCATCTAGTACATGCTAAACTTGACTTAAATCTACATAAATTTCCACCGTTTCCTTTACCATACTGAGACAAGGTAAAACAAAGCTCACAATTACAACTAATATGAATGACAAAAAGAAATTAATATATCTTTTCCCCCCTCAAAATGGAAATTGATGATACTGTCATATAATTTCTAGAATATGTGACTATAAATAAATATAGTTTTAAACAAACCAAATTTGTAAATTCGGCCTCTTTAATACCAACTTTTACCTCTGAAATATAAATAGGAGCAATAGCCGAGTTCACACCAATGCCAAGGCCAACAAGAAATCTTCCCCAGAGTATTTCATCCAAGGAATGAGCTTGTCCACTGTTACAAACTGAAAGTGATCAAGATTAAAAAGAAAAGTAATACAACATGTCTAACTAAAGACCAAAGAAGGTATGATACATGGAAATAATCAGAGTGCCGCACATCAAAATGGATAACCCCATCCCATGTAGACATGCAAATGCATACAGTATGAATGATCTTGTCTATGTGCTTATTAAACATATAATTTTATTATCCGTTGTAAAATTTTACCTTATCTTACTAAGTACCAAATTTTACTTCATTTGTGTCAATCACGAATTTAAATTACCTTATAATGGCACCAAGAATAAGTGGTATTGTGTCAAGCTGAAAGGTGCGTCGGCAACCCAGTTTATCGACCAATGAACCAGAGCTGATGCTTCCAATAAATGCTCCGGCTATGAATATACTCACTACTAGTCCCTCAATAAATGAGTTCCCTTCAAAACCAAGCTCTCGTGCAATAGATACAATAGGACCATTCATTACTCTGCATCATACACCCAATAAATAAAAGCAAAACGAAACTATCAAATTCAAAAGACTATACCCATCAAAGTGCATAAATATTAAAAGCTATTAAATTCAAGTGCTTCATTCACAAATTTTTTTTCTAGGTTAATTAATTTGTTAAAACTAGACGTTGCGATAGTCAAATTAGTAGTGCTACTCTAATTCAAAAGTTAGACCCACTTTTCAAGCTCAATGATTTGGTAATCTATTAGAATATCTAAGACAACACTGTCTCTCCTCTCTTCTTTAATCATCAGCCAATAATCTCTTTTACACATTAGTGTGCCTTGAAAATGGATCTAGTAAGTGTAATTCTATATCATTTTTCAATTATAAATAGGGTAAGTTACAAATACACCTCCAAGGTTGATTTAAAATATGAATCGCTCCATGTAGTTCTAAAAATTACATCCCGTCCCTTAAAAGTTTTTAATTTTGTAACAACTAACCTATTTTGTTAATAAATTATCAAGTTAACTATCAGTTTTTAATTTGACTACCGAAATAACCTTAAATAGAGCCGAGTGGAGAAGAATGATTCATGCCCCTCACCTCATGTTTCTCAATCACCCGACACAAAAAAAATTATAATACCCAACATTTTCTACCAATCATAATAGCACGAAGCAGGCCGTGCCCGTGCTAATACCCAATAACCAGCCATTAAGATAACATGAGGGAGAGAGAGAGAGAGAGAAATACCCAATGTGATAACCGAAGAGGAATTCGGACATGGAAGCAACCAAAACGTGAGGGAATGCAGGCAACCATCCCACATCAATTCCTTTATCAGCACCCTCCTCCTCTTGTAATGAAGTTGATTCACCCTCCTCTTCCAAACTTGGTTTGGAAGTCTGCAATTGAGGGAGATGGTGTTTCTTGGCCGCCGGAACTCTGAACTTTGTCTGCGGCGGAGGATGAAAACCCAAACCCAAACGGTAGGGTGGGTGTTTGTTATCGGGAGCTGTCAGGGTTATCGGGACCGGAACAAACGCTTGACGGAATCCGGGAGCTGCCCACATCGGTTCTGATCGTGGGTGGCTCTTCTTAATTCTACTACGGTGGTAGTAAGCCAAACAATCAGAATGGATAGAGATAGAGAGACACAGAAGAGGGACGAGGATCAATTTGGATCGAAGTGAAAATCTCAACCTCTTGTAATTTGGCGCATTTTTTATTTATTTATTATTATTTTAATTTAATTAAAATAATTATATTATAAAAAAATAAAAATAATTATTAATTAGGTTTAACATTTTATTTTAATTTAATTTATTTTTTAATCATACAAAAATGGCTTAATTATACTTTCACCCACTTTGTTTGACCAAATTTTATTTTAGTTTAATTTAGGTTTGTTTATTTTGACGTAAAATATTTTTGTAAAAAATATTTTATTTATTTTTTACTGTTTGGTTAAACAAAAAATAAGTAAAATATTTTTACATTATTTTCATGAAAAATGATTTACTTTTAAAATTTTTGTAAATCAATCTTTACAAAATTGGCACTCGACCACTATCTTTTCAACTGGCGGTGCTACATGTACTAATTAATGTACACATTAGTATACTAACTAGTATTATGTCATTATTATTGATTCTACCTATTATACAAATTACAAATATTCAAAACCTCTAAAATTATACCACATCATCTGTTAGTATACTAGTTAATACATTAATTGGTACAACAATGGCCAGGGACGGAACCAAAATTTTATTATCGGAAGGTTTAAAAGAAAAATAATTTTTTTTCACCGTATACATAAAACACACATGTATGTATATATGAAATATAAATTATATATATATATATAATTTAAATACCATAGAAGCAATTTATAATAGGATGAATAAGTTTTTTTTTTTTTAAATGTAAAATATAAAGAGAATTCAAGATGGAAGAAAAATAACATATATTTTTTATATTAAAGTGTCATTTTTATATATAAAATGATATATATATATATATATATATTTTTAAAAATAACAAACAATAATTTTCACAAAAATAAAAAGGCCATAATCCCTTATAATTTTTTCCCAATTCCGTCCCTAACCGTGATTTATAGAAACAAAAAGACATGACCTCCTATAGTAATTTCTTAGTTCCGTCCCTGACAATGATATTATCAAATTTGACAACCGCGGCCACTTTGGTAGTCCTACAAATACTCTTAATTTAATCATAAGAAAGTTTAGGGTATCCAAAAATTTGATTTAATCTTTTTATGTATATATATATATATTAAAATTATGGTCCATTTTTTTATTGGGTAAATTATAGGACTGAACAAAAAAATCGAAATAACCACAAACCGAACCGGTCCAAATCAATTTAGTAGGCTTGGTTTAGTTTTTCTAATTCGTAGTTCGGTTTTGATTTGAAAATTTGAAAAACTGGTGTTAGCAGTTCGATTCTGAATTTTGTTCTATGATTCTGAATTTAAACCAAACTAAACCATGTAATTTAAACCATATACCATGCACACAATCTCAACTTTTTATATATGACATCCAAACCCTAATCTCATATATCATCATAGTGTTGTCTTTCTATGTCATGTTTGTTTAGGTTAATGGTTGAACAATGTGCATATTTATGTTTTGAAAAATTACAGCAGATTAATATTGAACAACATGTTTGCTTAATATTATGTTTTTTAACTAGTGAACATATGAGAGTAGTTTGATTGATGGTATGTTATTATTATTTTTAAAATTTATGACCAGTTAAATGTTTTAGGAAAGTGTCACATGATTTTTTTTTGTGAATAGATTATGTAAAACTATGATTCCAAATCGAACTGAAACATATTTAAATGGTTTGGCTCGGATTAGTTTCATAATTTTAATAGTTTGATTTGGTTACAATTTTAATGGAACCGTAAATAATTGATTGGTTCCGGTTTCATCCCAAACCAAACTAAATCAGACCATAGTTAGCCCTAGTAAATTATACTCATCTCTCTCGAGGTTTGAAAAAAAATATAATTAGCTCTGCATTTTTTACATGATTATACTAATCTCCTTTAAGATTTAATTTATATAACAATTAGGTTCTTTTTCATCAATAATTCGTTAATGACCTGAATGAAAAATTGATGTTGTCATCTCTTATCTATTAAAATTTATATTTATTTTTACTTATTTTAATATTTATCTATCATTTATATTAGTTTTAGTTGCTTTAATCTTATTAAAAGATAATTCAGTATAACTTAAAAATGGGGAAATTTGTTTTAAGGTTCTTGATATTAAGATTTTATAAGTTAAAGGACATACAATATTTTTATAGTATTTAAGGTCCTTCAATATTTTTACAAGAAAATTCGACTTAAAGAAATTTCAAATTTATCTGTGATCATATTAAAGAAATTTCAAAAAAATTCTGAGTTGAGGCTGAAATTTCTTTGAGTCAAGTGAAATTTCTCTGAATCAGGCAAAATTTATCTGAATCGAATTTTTTCTATGAAAATTTTGAGGGACCTTAGAGCATCTCCAACGGTAGTAGGCATTTTACCTATCTGAATATTACTATAAAGTATATATTTTATTTTGCCTATCAACTGTTTTATGTTTTTACTCCAACCATGCTCTTTATTTTAGCTATTTATCCAAATACTATTAATTTTATAGAATGCCACGTCAACAACAAAAATGGAGGGAAATGATCTTAATTTTTCTAATATTACACAAAGTTGGAGATGAATGTTTTACTAATTTTTCTTTAACTTTTTCACAAATCTCGAGTGAGTATAATTAACCCAATTTTTATTTCAATATGTTGAGCATGTGCTTCACACGCGGCATAGTAGAGCGTGGAAATTGTAAATGCATATATAATGGGCTGCCACGTGGCGTTGTACAAAGATCATTGAACCCGCAGTATTTTTTTAGGAGATAGGCCGTGGAGTTTATTACTAGTCTTGTTTTGATGATCAAAACTATTTAATATGTAAAGTTTGTCGAATATTTTATTATTACAAACAATTATGTTGACAAAAATGTGTTTCGATCAAGGCGCAATCGATATTCGATCAACTTGATTTTTTATAAGCATAAAGTACTCGACGAGTTTTACACATTGAACGGATCGGATTATCGAAATGGGACTGATGGTGGGCCCCACTGGCCCAACAGCACGCTCCACTCCACTATGTAGAGCGGGGAGAAGTCCCTAATTTGTTTTTATAAGGCAATTTTTAAGTATGCAAGTGCATATCATATGTACTTGCATAAATTCTTACAAATATAGGTAAATTATCTCACAAAATCATGCACGTTTTCACAAACATACGTAAGTTAACCCATAAAAATTTGAGAAACCACAACTTGCATATATTAGTGAGAACTTATACGATTTTGTGAAATAACTTATGTGTATTTGTGAGAACTATATATGTAAACTTTTTAAACTATTTAACAAAACTTAGCTTAAAAAAAAAAAAATTATTTATCAAAACTCACTTTTTAAAATCGCAAGTTTAAAATATAATTTCATATTAACGTGATCTACGTCTATATACCGGCAAGTCATGTCAATATGAAATCTTATTTTTAAGATGCGATTTCACTATGAAATCACATTTTAAACATGCAATTTTATGATGAAGTCACGTTTTGACCTTGCACTTTTTAAAAAGTAAGTTAATTTGATAAATAATATGAAAAGTGAATCACTTTTGATAAATAATTTATTTTTTAGAATACTAAAAAAAAGAAAAAAAAACTCTAGAACGTGTTATTCAAACAAAAAGCCATTTGATAATTGGAGACATGAGACGAAGACATGACGAATACTATTTCCTTTCACTTTCATGCGCTGGGCACCCCAACTTTCACCATCTCCATTTCTGGGTCTCCATTTCTTTATAAGTCCATTTTCTTATGGTAGTATCTGGACTAGGCCCAGGATTGGTCTTATTTTTTCAATCTCAAAATGGGCTGGGCCAGTATGGGATTTTAAGACAGCCCATGCCCAAGGCATCTCGAATTGGGCTGGAACAGGGTCCTCAGCCTAATTTGTATGGCCTAATTCTATTAAGCGGCACTAACTGAAAACTCTTGTTAGGGAGATGGGTGTACTAATAAGTCCTCATGTTTTTTTAGTGCACCAAAAAATCTTATTTATTTTTCATTGTTACCAATAAGTCTTTATGTTCCACTGTCACTGTCGCTACCAGATCCACCACTACTGGACCATCCGTCAGACAGTCGCTAGAAAGTTGTTAGAGAATCGCCAGAATATTTTAAATGTCACCGGAAGTCGTCGGAATGTCCAGAACATCGCTGGATGACGACCATATTGTCAAACACTCACTGGTATGTCTAGAACATCGTCAAAAATAGAAGAAGAATAAAGAGAGAAATTAAAGCAAAAACATAGCCAAATTTAACCACATCTTCTCCAACACCACAAAAAAAAAAGAAGAAGAAGCTCTTTATCATACAGAGTACATAATTTTCAGTTTATAAAATTGTAAAAATTAAGAGTTTCAAAATCACAAAAATTATTAGTTTGCTTGTTTGTAATTTATCAAAACACAATTTCACATCGCGCCGATGATGGAGATCTCAGATTAGTAGTTTCTAACGGTTTGTAATTTTTTAGTTTGTTAATATTTGTTTTTTTTGTTATTTTAATAAAGGAAAAAAATTGCTAGAGTTATAGAGAAAAACATAAACATCCTTTCAAAACTGAAAAATTTCTCAGTTTTTACGGCTTGTAATTAAAACTGAAAAAATATTTATTTAGAACTTGAAAATTTTCTCTATTAAAACATAAAAAAATAAGTGTATAGTAGAGAAAAAGAAGAAAAAATGAGAGATCGAATGAGGGAGACAAACATAAAGAGATGATTGTACTCTGGCGACCAAAATTTTTTTTTTTTGGTTTAGATCTGGTCTAATTTGATAGAGAACGATGATAATAGAGCTCCAATCGGCAATGGCAGTAGAGAAAGATGGAGGGAGTGGAAAAGGACACAGAGAGCGATTTGCTGATGGCAAATGAGGTGAGGACAAAGCTGATGAGACGGAGGAGTGGCCGTAGCAAGCTATCAATAGTCGGTAGTCGCTGGTCGTTTTCCTATCAAAAACGAGAAAAGAAAGAGAGGAAGGAATGAGTCTTTTAAGATG